TGCCAGCTCTGGTCTTACATAGTTACATAGTATTTGAGGTTGAAAAAAGACATTAGTCCATCAAGTCCAACCTATAGGATCTTGTTTTATTTGACCTTTAGTATGACGGGTCTGTTGTGTGTGGCCTTTGGTATGACAGCTCTGTTTTATGGGGCATTTAATATAATTTCAGATGATTCCTGCGAATCAGACAAAAGTTAAGCCATGGGTGGCCCTGCTTACACCCTGCAGAGATAGATAGATAGATAGATAGATAGATAGATAGATAGATAGATAGATAGATAGATAGATAGATAGATAGATACTGTAGATAGCAAGATTTTAGCAAAACAATAGAACATATAGGCAGTTCTTGAAACCCATGCGTTATATCTAATCTTTACCAGGAAAGCTGTTTATACCAATTAGTGATGGGTTTACTAAGAAAGGATAATCCATCTTAATGTAGATTAGTACCAGCCAAACCGCGAGACGAGAATTCCTGTATCCTCCTACATCATGTTAAATCATATAAAGGTTTATCAAATTAATATTCTCATTAAAATTTCTATATGCATTGATAGTAATTAAAGTGATACTAAACTCAGGAGTTAAATCTTAAAAATACATTCAGGTACCTTCACTTTTAACAAAAATGTATCTTATTTGTGTATCACTCGGCTGTAGATCCTCAAATCATCTCTGAGGCCTTGTTCACACCAAGCGCGTTCCAGGAGCAGAGCAGTTACAGCCCGGATCAAAACTGCGTCCAATGTATTCCAATGGTATTTTGGGCTCTAGTTCACACCACTGTGTTCAGTTCCAGAGCATGTAAAAAAAACTGCAGCAAGCCCTATTTTACCTGCTCTGGAACGCTTTGGGACGCATGCAAACACATCAAAAATGCATGCAAATGCCCTGGAATGCACTGAAAGCCCATTTTAATCAAAAAAAGAAAAAATATATTTGTTGTTTTTTTTTAACCAAAAACGCATCAAAAACACAGCAAAAAACGCGGTACAACACACTGCACTGTGTGTGCAGACACTCATGCAGATCTGGTCTGCATTTGGTGGTGGTGGTGGTGAATTGCTGCTGACACTGTCCTTCCTTCTGGTGGGTGGCTACCTTTGTTCCCCATGGTCCCTGTGTGTGTTGTAAAGTAGTCAACGCTCCAAGCTCGCTCCTGTGACGGACAATAATCTCATGTTTAGTTTACTAATTTGTATTGCGATTGTAGTCCATTCCGGGAGCAAGCTTGGAGCGGTAACTACTTTATAACACACACAGGGACCATACCTGTACCTTTTTTTGCGATACACGACGCACAGCTGTTTTGGCCACGATCGTGCTTGGGTACAAGGGCGGAATCGCGGTGGGAAACCGCGCGATCTGCCCGGCGCGACTGGGGTGCCATTAGAAAATAGTGGCAACCACAGCACGATCGTCAGTGATGGGCAACTTTGTGACCGCACGGCATCGCGCACGATTGCCGCACGGTCACAGATCGCCTAGGTGTGCACCGGCCCTTAAAAGGAGAACTATGGGGTTAGGGCTTTTCCCCATAGTTCTCCTTAGGGTAACGGGAGGACACAAACTAGCGTCCTCCCGTCACCCTAGGCTCAGTATACCGCGAGCTGTAGCTTGCGGTATACTGAGACGCCGTAGCTGAAGCGGATTCCGACAATTGTGCCGGGATCGGCCCAGCTGCGTGACTGACAGCTGGCTCTGCCTATCTAGAGGCAGAGCCAGCTGTACCCGCCCCCTCCCCCGTCCGTTCCGCCAGTCAGCGCTGGAGGATCGGAGCAGGGAGGGGGGAATCCAGCCCCTCCCCTGTCAGGATCGAGAGGTGAGCGAACGCCGGTATGTGTTCCCTCACCTCCCGATCTACTGAGCCGACCTGTGACAGTCTCATTGTCACAGGGCGGCTAGAACTATGAGGGGAGGGAAAAGCACTCACCTCATAGTTCACCTTTAAGGTTTAACTCCTAAGTTTAGTGTCACTTTAAAGTTTCCTTTGTTTGGATCCTATTGGCTAAATATCTGCATGTAAGAAGAAAATATACTGTAAATGTGCATACTTCATATCTGCATGGTCCACTTACTGATAAAGAACTCCAGCCAGTCAGTATTGTATGTTCTGGACTGGGGCGGGGTCACCAGACAAGAAGTGAGGGGAAATCTATAACAGAGACAGCGACACAAATCTGACAGGGGATCTAGCTCTTCCCTACTCTACCAAGGAAAAGCATTTGTATTTCTTTCCGTGTTACTGTCAGAGAGTTCCCTTCACTTCCTGTCTAGTAAAGCCAGCAGGACAGGAATGAGGGAAAAATCTCTCAAACGGAACCCCAGATAGCAGTAGACACCTGACATGGTTTTAATTTTTCCGAGCTCTAATCTAAAACTTTTTTTTTTGCTGGAAATACACTTTAAAATACTGTAATTCATTTATTGTTTCATTGTATTAATAAGAGACTGAAACAATGTAGCAACTGTTACAAGCTCTCAGCCTCTGTCGCCATCAGACCGGCATGAAGAGATTATGTCTATAAAGCTTGTACAGTACTTGATTGGAATTCCATTGTGTGGAAAACAGACCTCAAGCTTACATCTGTTTCCTCCGTCCAAAAACACAAATATCACATATTAGTAAATAAACACGCACAGTATATCCTGAATTGTATGTTTTATCTTGAAATCATAATAGACATACAGTATAGCCCTCATTCACACTGTAATCGTCCCGCACGTACAGTTCCGTGCTACGTGCACAGCCGTATCGCTCAAGTTCCGGGAAGGACAGGTGGTGCGTGTGATTAGTACGCAGCCCCTGTCCTTCTCTATGGGAATACGCGGCCGTACGCCCCCCTACGCTCACTCGCCCTGCACGTCCGTGCGGGTGAGCGTACTAGTATGCTGACAGGATGGATCCTGTCTGCGTCCGAGCCAGGAAACACGCACCCCTACGGACCGTCACTTGAGGTGAGCATAGGGGGGCGTACGGCCGCGTAGTCCCGTAGAGAAGGACGAGGGCGGCGTACTAATCACACGCAGCACCTGTCCTTCCCGCGAGCTGCTCGATACGGCCCTGCACGCAGCACGGAGCTGTACGTGCGGGACGATTACAGTGTGAATGAGGCCTTATAGTACACGTATATAGTTTCCTTACCATCTTGTCTTGATATGTATTGTAACTGTAATGTCCTCCTTATATTGTAAAGCGCTGCAAAAACTGTTGGCGCTATATAAATCTGAAGCAGTACCCTGCACAAATTCCATTTCATCACTAGATGTCCTCAGTCTTCAGTGTCATTCAGCGCAGCCTGTGAGTGCAGGGTGTCACAGCTCCACCCCCTGATGGGGCGTCAGTAACCGCAGGCAACCTGCAATCACATTAACTTCTGCATCATTGAGGATCACACATCGCTGGAGAAAATCCATAGAGGAAGAGGACCCTGCGTGGTGATTGAATGGCCTGCAGATCTAGGGTCGGGAGCTGGGATTTAGGGGCTCATTCTCATGGGCCTGCAATTGCATGCAGCTGCCTGTACATCCCTATGGGAGGACACAGCTGCATGCAACTGCACGCCAATCGAAACCTGCACATCCCTGCGGGTCCGGGTGCATGCACATTTGGACGCAGACTGTCATCCGTACGCATATGCCTACCCGTGTGCATGAGACCAAAGATCCTCCTCTAAGATCATATACCACACTTGTAACTGTCAACTAATAAAATGCTTTAATATTGTTACATTGTGACGTGCACACCAACTACAGACAAGGGATTGGTCTGTCATGTGTCGGCTCTGTGGCCATGCTTTTGTTTCTCAATTACCATTTCAAAACCATGGACAGCATTGACAGGGAATCATCTTCATCCTCATCATCTGTCCATGGGATTGTAATAATCTAGATTTATTTTCTGAGCCTGCAACAACTATAGGAGGCCTGACTTCACTAGCTGCATGCTTGTTCCAGCCATTAATTTATATTCCTAGAGGTCAGCAATGATTTCATTTACATACCTTCAGGGACGGGTTTCCATTTCGGGCACCTGTAACCTGAGCTAGTGCACCTTATCTGTTGCGGGACCCGCCGACTTTCACATATGCAGAGAAGGACCCCGGCATTGCGTAAGGCTGTCCTCATCAGACAGGCATTTTACAGGGCAGCCTTATGCAGCGCCGGTGTTCTATCAAAAGCTCCAACTCATCGAAGTCTACAACTACCTCACTTCCGGTGCTCAGAAAGACTGGAGCTCTATACAGTTGCGGTGCGCATGCGCGCATAGCATTTTCAGAATACTTGTTGAGTTTGCCACCTGCTGAATATTGTTAAAATGCAGCTGTACAGAGCTCTGTCAGTCTTTGTGTTTTGCAGTCTAACGCCGTCTGGTCGAAATCTCCAACTTGAAAGTACTCGGCAGTGAGGTAGTTGGAGATTTCGACGAGCTGGAGCTTTTGATAGAACACCGGGGTCCTTCCCCTGACTTTGCCAAAGCCGGGGGTTCCTGTAGGCAGGTCATGGAGCAGGAGGGTGCATTTTGTGCAGAATGCACCCTCCTTGCTATTGCCAGTGTTGTATCTTGACACAACACTGGGAATTAGGCAGAGTAGGTACCTGTACGATGCCCCTCTATGGAGGACACCTGTAGGCACATGCCTACTCGGCTTAATGGTAAATCCGGTGTGGGTCCAGATTCGTCACGGGTCCAGGATTCTACCAGAACACTGGTCCTGCATACCTCTCTGTACAAGTAACCTTTAACACATAAAAGGTATTTATAAGCAGCATCTTCCAACATTTTTCTAAGTAATAAACTTTAGTAATAAATAAAACATTCCTAATGGTGCAGTAAACAGGAAGAACTTCATAAAGTTTGTTAGGATAATTAGTAATGATTAACATTTCATACAAGGTGTTCTGTATTTTTAAATGTAAATTAATGATTGAACTTATTAAAGCCCAGTGACAGGCAGCAGGGGAGATAGAACAGCATTGCTAGCTTGCCATACCTCGTCATAGAGCCGGTAGATCTGAATGCCCATGGTGTCGGTGAAGAGCTGCCATCCCTCGGTCAGTATGGGCTCATCCAGACCCCTCCAGGCTTGCTGGAATTGATCTTCCGTAAACCGGAGATCCATGTCTCCCTAGACCTGCGGAACAGCGGCTGCTTAACAGGGCTCACCTAACGTCACAGGTCGTGCTGCGCCATATCCAATCAGCGCGCTTCAAAAAGACCGATGGCCAATCAGGCTTCGAGATTGTCTTCCGGGTTTGCGGCCGCATTAGCTGTACACGGTGGAATCCGCTCCCAGCGCTCTATTGTTTGCCGTGTTTACCGGATGAGGATTGACAGTGTCAGTCAATGTGCTGACCGCGCAGATTCCCATAGGAAATGTGTGCGGTCTGCAAATATTGAAATTAGGGGCCGAAAGTTCTGAACTTCTCATTTTAGAGCAAGAAAAATAATATGGTAGCAGTTCAGATAGTATGCAGAAACTTTAAAGAGACCCTGTCACCAACTAATAAAATTAATGCAGGTGAAAGCACAGAAAAAAATCTAATATTTTAAGGGCCCATTCCCAGCAGATGCGTTGGGCTGTGCAGACACAACACTTAGACAAGGCAATTAGCCTTGCGTTGTATGATGTCGGCTTGCAACACCGAGCTGCGGTACTTGCAGAACAGCATCTTGCGAAGGGGCGGACCTACCACCGGTGGGGAACCTTCTGGGGAACCACGCTGATCCTGTTTACAGTGCCAGCCTGCACATCTCCCCTGCTGAAACCCTCTGCATGTGCCCCTGGGGAGACCCTCTGCATCTCCCCTGCCGGGGTTGTACCTATCTGCCTCTCCAGCTGAGACCTTCCGCATTTGCCCCCGGCTGAGACCCTTCACATCTGCGCCTGCTGAGACCCTTCACATCTGCTCCTGCTGAGACACTCTGCATCTGCCCCTGCTGAGACCCTTCAGATCTGCTCCTGCTGAGACCCTCCGCATTTGCCCTGCTGAGGCCCTCCGCATTTGCCCTGCTGAGGCCCTCCGCATTTGCCCCTACTGAGACCCTCCATATCTGCCCCTGTTGAGAACCTTTGCATCTGCTCCTGCTGAGACCCTCCACATCTGCCCCTTGTGAGACCCTCCGTCCAAGACATCAGGCCAGCACCACATAGCAGAGTATGTAACAAATTATTATACTATTCTGCATTGCTGTATAATGTATTGCCGGGATTTTAGTCCTCTCTAGCTGATGGTATTATTCTGCATTTTCTTAATTCACTTGCAATGTGACTTTGAACTTTGAGACTTGGGCTCCAGGAAGGGCCGTTTCCCTAACACAGCCACAGTCCCCCCTGCTCCGTAGCACATCATAGCCCTTTCTGCTTCTGGGAGTGTCTAATTTCTCTCTGTGCTGGCCCAGGTCCCCTGTTCCCAACCTCTCTTTCAACCTCCCAACTTTCTCAGATGATAAAGAAAGACACATTTTAGATTAAATTATGCAGGCACATTACGAGCCAACCCCTCGCACCCAGTTACATGGACCATGAAGAATGACTATGAAGAAATGATTGGCTAAACCCTCGATCTATCCTCTGGGTTAGCCCTAACCCAATGTATCATTGACCACTCACACTTTTCCCTATATACATTACTTGTTTGTTATCTTTGTTCTCCTTTTTTTATTGTTATAAGTGTATCGGTGAGACAAGGATAATTCTTGCTATGCGTCTTGCAGGGACTAAAGCCTGCTTCATCAGGAGACTCACCGAGGGTCCTTAAATGTGATCTATAGATACTTAACATCAAAGGAGGATATCACAGCAATATATCATTCATAATATGTTACTAGGTTACAATATATATATATATCTATCTCCACACAATTGTCCTTTCTCCAAATGGGCAAAAGAAAACAATCTGTTGGTTCCCCTACAGCAAATACAGGGACATACAATAGACGAGGAGGGAGGAAACCCAAGATGCAGCAGTGCAATGGCAGAAACAACCCATAGAATATCTTATAAGTTCTCATACATTCTCAACCATAAGCTTTGTTTATCTTATATCTAATATCTTAGTGGGTTCCTTGCTTGAAATTACAAGTTTAATTATGACTGTGCTAAGGGGCAGCTTGACTGGCTGTTCAGGCTCCACAATGTACAGCTCTTAGAACACCCATGTACAACTACCTCTTAGCCATGCTTGGGTTTACATACATACTGCAGGATAACATGAGCAATACTGGAGGCTGCTGGAAGATTTTGACAGGCTGCAACACTAAGAAAGTCCCATATACATCCCCTCCACTCCGTCCCTGTATCCCTATATCACTTGAAGGTATGGTCTGTTACTGGTTACAGGCACTTCCAGGTATGGAATACCCGGTCTACCAGTCTCCATAAAGACATAACATTCAATAATAGAGTGAACAGCTAGGCTTAGCGTGGAATTCTGGGAAAGTCACTGGGATAGCCACATGCAATACTCAAATGCAATGGCCACATTACCCATCTGTAACACAGACCAGGGTATGGGACTGGAGAGCAAAGAGCTCCATGATGATATCCCTGCTGACTTGAAAACTTGGCAATTTATTTTTTGAATGTATCACAATACATATGGCATGGTTGTGCGTGTGTCTCTGCCCTAATTCTGGGCCATCTGGAAAGGATTTTAAAACTATCTTTGTTATAGGCATCCATTCCTAATAGAAGAAATGTTTCCACTACATCATTTTGAATGGTTTGAGTTTGCAGTGTATGGAAGGCAGCTTTCGGAATCTTCTCTTTAGCAGTATTGTTAGTACATTAAGTACATTATATAATATGTATGTTTGTGACTGGATCACTTTAATGAGGATAGAAACTTTCCCTGCTACCATGATGCTTTAGTTGCTTCCATTAACATGCACTATGTAAGCCATCGGTGTGCATTGTAGCTTTTTAAGACCTGAAAGGAGTTTATTGGCAAATATTAGCTGCATTATAGCACTAGGTTTAGCAATACAAAGAGTAAGAGTATTGTTAAACCTAAAAACAAAAATGTTATATATTGCACCTTACCAGTGCTTAGATGCGGTGACTCCATTCGTTTTCCGTTTTGAGGCATTTTCACCCGGTATTCCTGTGAATAATGCACTTTCTGTCCTAAGGTAGAATTTATACTTCTCTGCCTTTGTTTATCGCCATTCCATGTGGTGGGATCGGGGCGGGGTGATGGATTTAGTAGTTTACAAAGAAGCTTGCAGATGATCTCACAGGAAGTGACAAGGATATGGCATTTTGGGCAAGATCAACAAATATTTTCTATACTGGCTAAAAATGTTCTTGGCTTGAAAAATGAAAACTAATGCAGCCACCACATCTAAGGACATGCAAACTGCTACAGATCACATTTTTGTTACATAGTTACATAGTATTTGAGGTTGAATAAAGACACATGTCCATCAAGTCCAACCTATTGTGTGTGTGTGTGTGTGTATAGATCCCTGAGTCATCTCGTTATTAGGAGTACTTGTACCCCTGTATATTAACGTTTCTCAGGAAATCGTCCAAAAGCTTCTTGAACGATTCCACACTATTAGCTGAAATCACTGCTTGTGGCAACGAGTTCCAGACGCTAACCGCTCGAACTGAGAAGAACCCCCTCCGCCCCTTGTGTTTGAATTTTTTTTCTACCAGTTTCAGGTGGTGGCCTCTAGTCTTTGTTACGGAATTAATCGTAAAGAGTTTGTTGCTAATGTCGCTATGACTATAGAACATTTTGTACATGAAAATCATGTCCCCCCTTAATCTCCTTAATTCCAGCGTGAACATATTTAAATTTAGTAACCGTGTCTCATAGCTCTTGTCCTCCATCCCTTTGATGAGTTTGGTCGCCCTTTGCTGGACTTTCTCCAGTTCAAAGACATCCCCTCTGTGTACCGGTGCCCAAAACTGGACCGCATACTCCAGGTGAGGACGAACCAGTGATGTGTAAAGTGGCAAAATTATAGACTTATCCCTGCAAAACATTCCCTTCTTGATGCAGGACAAGACTCTACTAGCTTTGCTTTGTTGTTGGGTTTAGTTATACTTTAGTTACCCAATCCTACTTAAACTGATTAGTAGATCCAGAGATTTAGGCTATCTGGACATTTTCCTGTTCCTGTTATGTGATAGGGAGCCTGATAGGAAAGCTCAGGAGGTGGAAGGGGGCAGCACCAATTGACTTTTACAAGGAAAATTCAAGATTTGGATAGGACTTCAGATGGCTGAACCTCTGCCCAGATAGCAAGGATAACTTGCCACAAACTTGTGGCAGGGTTAAATTGTAATTCTTGTTAACCTGCTGCACACATTCCCTGGCAAGTTGTAGACATGCAGAACACTTGCAGTACAAGTATTAGTTGACACTTTTTAAATTTGTAGCAAATTTGTTTGGCAGGTGTACAGCAAGATTCCTGCAGGTCTTAGCAAGAGCTCTGCAAGTGTACAGCACTTTTGCAAAGCACCTTGATCTGGAGACTTGCAATGCAGACTTGCTGTAATTAGTGCAACAACATTGTGAAGCTTGGCAAGTCTAGCAATAGTTTAGCAAGTCATTTTCAAACTTGCAGCTCAATTGCTTGCTATCTGGGTGGTTATACTGAAAATGTTGGCATTCCCTTTTCACTGAAGGCAACCTCCAACCTATTGTCATATGATGAGTTTGATTTGCCCAGGTGAGTGACAGTTTTACTTAAAGTGACATTAAACCCTCAGATTTTTTAACATAAAACAATACTGTAATGTGTGCCTTACTGTAATCCATGGTTGTTCCCTTCTCTTTGCTGAGGATTTAAAAGGAAGAGCAGCAAAGAGAAGGGAAACAACCATGGATTACAGTAAGCCACACATTACAGTATTGGTTTATGTTAAAAAATCTGAGGGTTTAATGTCACTTTAAGGACTTTAAAGGAGAACTATGGGGTTAGGGCTTTTCCCCATAGTTCTTCTTAGGGTAACGGGAGGACACAAACTAGCGCCCTCCCGTCACCCTAAGCTCAGTATACTGCGAGCTACAGTTCGCGGTATACTGAGACGCCGGAATATACCGCGAGCTACAGCTCGCGGTATACTGAGACGTCGCAGCTGAAGCGGATCCCGACAATTATGTCTGTA